GAAGACAGCTCTTCAGAAACAATCACTTAATGAAGCAGAATCTGATATATGGTAAAAATATTTAATTGTAGTAAACTATTTCTATACAGAAATCTATTTCTCTCTACTATCTAGTATTCCTGAAGTCCCAATTTATGTAAACCAATGCTGGCTTTGGAGTTGGATTTGGCTTTCCTTCTCTAAATTCAAGCATGTTGTTCAGATTAAATTCATGGTTTCTGCCTTAAATCAAGAAGCCAATTGGTGGAAGGCAGAAGAAAACAAAATCTGGGTACTCATTTCTTATACGCAATTTTCTCTCATCCTAATTTTCTCACATACGTTTTAATGCTTATTGTCGTCTTTCCCTAATGCATACCTTAAAACTTGACAATTTTACTTTAATATTGATGTGTAACTTTTCCACAAGGAATAATAACGATTCCTAACAGCAGTCTTTGAACTCTCCAGAAAGAAGATGGGGCCCCACATCAACATTTCCACTTGACTCAACCTGATGCATCTGAACTACAAACATCACCCTAAAACCGGTTTGAGACTGTTTTGCTCGAGACAACTCATGACTAGCTAGCTGTAATGGTGCACCTTTTAATTACACCCTGGCCAGAGTTTCAAATAGAACTACAGTCAAGAATTTTCTGCCACACTGTGACTAGCTACATATGTCACAGCCAGTTCTGTTGAGAAATTTGGTTGCTAAAAATTTTCTTCCTACAGGATCCATTGGAGCAATCATTGTCCCATTTCAGCAGGAAGTAACCTTAAGATAACGACGCCCCCTTTCCCTACCCTTGTAATTTTGGGATAATAGTCATCTTCTTTGGGTTGGTTTTAGTTACTTAGGGTTGGGTATGGAAGGTGATGCTTACACTCGGGTTTATCTTTTAGACAGGAATAGGGAATGGTTGGGAAAGGTATGGTTTAGATGGGATATAGGTAGATTAGCCTATTTTCTTGTGAATTTGAGTAAGAATGGGATAGTATTTTACAGCTTACATTGTTATATATTCTTATATGTGGTAAGCTATGTAAAACTAAGTTTATATTTTGTTATATTGTGTAAAATCTTTCCACTTATGATATTTTATGCACATTATTTTTTACCATATTCTATGTATGTATACTTTTCTTGTATTTAAGACATTTTGTATATTGATACAATTTGGGATATTTATCATGCTGCCCTTTATAGTTCTACCTCTTGTCTTGATATTTCTAATCTACCTCTATTTTAGGGATTTTTATGTATGTATATGTATATAGTTACATTGTTTAAGTATTTGTTCCTGCTTTACTCAGGGAAGTTTTAATCAGTCTTTTAGCTAAGTTCCTGAGTATTACAGATTATCTTCACTCATGTTTCCTGTACCTATGAGATTAGTCAGATATAGATGCTCAATCTTCAATCACTTCATAGACATACAGAACATGACATTTAAATGTTTTAATATTAGTACTCCGTTGACATGAGACACTGTTGCTCCTGACAGTACCGTGCACTTTCCCGAAAATATGTTGGACACTGTTGTTGCTCCTGCTGGAGTTCATTCTTGCCTCAGCTAATAGCCTCTTGGGCAAAGAACTTCCCCCACCTTGACCACTGATTTGGACATGCAGTCCTATGTGCTTGCAGGAGACAAATATAGAAGACTGCTGGACCTTGCCAAGTCAGGGTAAGACAGCCATTCTACCTCCCTGCTGTTGTTGTGGTCTGTCAAGTTCTCTTGGCCTTAGCCAAAACTGGGTGTACCAACATTGCTGTGAGACCTAGGGTGACTGTCCAGGTGGCTTGCTGTTTCTGTCCTTGCTGCACCTTTTGGAAGTTGTCCATCCGCATTTCCTGTCTACTCTAGTATCTTTATTTTCCTTCTCAGGTCTTGATGAGGTTGAAGATTAAACTATCACAACTATTATTCTCTCTTCCTAGTTAGATATATTAGGTACTAGACTTACGTTTTCCAGCTTAGGACAACTCTATTGTAAACTCCATTATGCCTTCACCCTAGGACTAGATATGTAGGTCATTTTGTTCTCGATTTTCCTTTTCTTAGAGCACACTTGTTATTCACTGTTTTGTATTAAGCCTAAATCTTTTCTTTAGACTAAAAGGGGAATTGTAGTGAGATAGTCCTTCTGTGGCACTGACCACGCCCATTGGGGGTGGAGCCATGGGCGGAAGTGACCTGTGGAAGGAGGTCGGAGGAAGAGCCGGGAAAAGCTTTCTTGCTGGCGGGACTCGGACGGGAGAGCATCCGGTGGAAATTGCTGGTGTTCATCTGTCTAGGCTGTAAGTTATTTCTCCCTGAATAAACATCTATTCGGCCTATTTGTTTATCTTGATCCTTATTTACCGCAATATACATAGATTAATAGTTATGGATTAACAGTTAAGAGATAGCTAGCCAATAAGGAGCCCTAGCCATCGGCCAACAGTTTAATAATTAATATAGCGTCCCGTGTGTTTATTTGGGGCTCAAGGGTGGCGGGACCCGGTGGGACAAGAAAACTGTGGCAACAGTAGGGTTTTGAGTCTATCCAAAAGGATGGCTTCAAGGCAGGAAAGGATGCTACAGGCAGTGTGTGGGTAAGTGCCAGTCTGGAAACAGCCTTTTCTTTTGTAGGGGGAGAATGGTGATTAGAAAGCACAGGGGCAGGAGTGGGAGGGGAGTTGCAGGGCTGGATGGTGTGAACGCCGAGGTGGTGGGATTGCAGGTGCCCATGGCGGTGAATGGGAACAGAGGGCAATGAGTTGTGCTCTCCGTGTGGGGGCTCCTCTCCAGGTCACCCTCTCATAGCACAGCTATGTGTGCCCATCCCTGTGTTTCTCGCTGTGCCACTTTGCATCTTTTGGGGAGGCTGAGACATTGCAGAAACCCCAAATGCCCATCAAGAAGAGGACAGACAGTGGGACCTACACAAAATTCAAACATCAGAGCTGGAGTTCACAGACATGTCCCTGGGACATGATAGTGGAAGGTCATCGGGCTGGGAGTGTGGTATAGTGCTCTCTTAGCATGGGACTGCACATGCATCCCTATCACAGATGCACACATGTACTTGCACATACCCACCCACCCACATACACACCTACACATGCATGCACACACACACACGCACACCTATACAACACACAGCTACACACATACGCACATACACACCTACACACTCATGCACACACGCACACACACGCACACCTATACAACACACAGCTACACACAAACACATACACACCTACACACACATGCACACATGCATGCACACACACACACACACACACCCTACAGAATGAAAACATTTCTATAAAGTTAAAAAAAAAATGCCAACATCTGTTTAAAAAAAAACTACCAGCCTGGAATACAGACTATTAACAGTCCATCATGGGAAGGGGAGGGAGGTGCTAGGCCCCACCCCTCCCAGAGGAGGTCCAGGCCACTCACAGTTGCTGGGGAGGAGTCACAGTCCTGTAGCCACCAGTCCTTACTCAGATAAACAACCCCCCACCCCTGGCAGCCCTAATTAAACAGCAGGGGTCCACAAAGAGCAAAACCAGCTAGGAATGAATATCAGAGAGAGAATTGGTGGGAAGAAGGGTTCCTGTGGGAGGGGGAGGGAGAAGATAATCAAAGTATATTATGTATGAAATTGTCAAAGAATTTTTTTTTTTTTAATGAACAAATTGACCCATGGGGATAGGCAATAGGATTGATTTATCATTTTTACAATCACTTTAGAACCCTGCAGTTTTATTTCTGAAACAAATAAGGAAGCTATTAGCTGACTGGCTCTGCCAGGGCAGGTGTGGGGTTTGCAGACCTGCTCACTGTCCCTTTGGGAATGTCCCTTTGGGAATGTTCCAATCTATCCGGTCTTTTCCATTGTGTGCTGGATCCTCCTGCTGTGAGGAAATCAGGCTGAATCTACTCAGGGCTTTCCTTTCTCTCTCATGATTCACTTTCCCCTACACCTCCTCTTAGCCCTTCAGGAGCCAAGCCTGTCTCACACCCTTGGTGTTAGTGTGTTAGTGTGGTGGGACACCTCTACTTCCTTTTACCTGAGTGTGGCCGGTCCCCAGCATCCCCAGCTAGCTCTTTCATAAACATCTCTTTAAGCTGCCAAGATGAAAACATTTATCCAACCTTCTTAGACATTTCACCCCAGAGCCACTCTACGGAAGATAAACATTTCCATAACTGCCAAATGTAATGAACTTTGTGGGTTTTTTCTGCAGCCCCTGGGAGCTTTTACCACTGCTCCCTGATCTCTCAGCCTCTCCTCCATCCCAGCCACATTCCAGCTTCCAACCACCACCCACACCAGCAGGTGTGGCCTCTGCCAGTCTTCTGGGGTCTCCTCTGTCTCAGCAAGTAGCTCAGGGGGAAGAAATCTCCCATCAAACCCCAAGACACACACGCAGCTCATCCCTCTTCCAATACCCAGCAGTACACAGTGTTCCTATTGGAGAAAAGGCAGAGCTAGCACATACCTGGGTTTTCTCAGCAGCCTCAGCAGGACAGCAGCCTGCTCAGAATCTCCTGTGGCCTCATGTCCCCACCCAGAGGTACTTCTGAGACTCTGCAACATGTGCCAGGCTGATGCAGAAGGAAGGACCTGCCTTTCACCACAGGCAGGGGCTGGGAGCAACTGTCTGAACCCCGGCAGGCCGGATTCTGGGGTTGCTGGCTCCTAACAGAAGGCATCCATCAAAGGAAACACTCAGCATTTTAGCAATGCCCTTGCAGCATTTCTGACGCTCCATATAACCCACCAAGGCCAAGGCCAGGGCTCTGTGGGGTCCCAGCAGGCCTCTGTCCCAGTGCTTCCCAATACCCTGCTGTGGAACTTTCTAGTTAAGGAACTGAGTACAGAGGTGCAAGGCAGTATGCCTCTCTCGTTGATGATGGGTTAAGTCCCTCCCTCCCGGCTACATAGTGCATACCACCTCTGGAGAACCCCAGGATGCAGGGAGCAGTCAGTGTAAACAAAGGAACCAAACACCAGCATTCCAACAGGAGCATCTATTTATTGGTATTGATATTAAGCCACTTCCCAGCAGCCACTGTTGTCATAAGAACAGAACTCGCTTCTAAAGGTACTAAAGTAATAGAGACATCACAAACAAAGCACATCCATGACTGCAAACTGGCTTTTCTCCTCTGGTCAGGGTGATGGCACTTAGTGTCCCTCTCTGACCATGCCTCCTGGTCCCCACTGACGCACATGTCCTTCTGTTCAACCCTGGAGGTTAACAGACCTGCTCCACACCCGTGACCTCATCCCTGAAGATAACGTGCTGAGCATCCCACTGATGTTAGAGACACTCTGGCAGGGAAGCCACAGTCTGGTGACAAGACTGCTAGCACCAAAGAGCAGCTTCTGCTTCCTCGTCACGAAGTAAACACGACACTTTTTAAATTTCTTTTTTTGTAAGGAAAGAAAAGTTGTTTTAAAAAAATATATATATGGCACTAGAGTGGAAAGCTAAACACCTGCATCCAGAGAAGCTTCCTACAGCCCTCAGAGCCACACCCCGTCTCCCGTCAGATGTACAGCTGGTGAGAAGCCAATGTGTCCATGAAAGGCCGCACCAGGTTGTCTGTGGAGAAGTAGAAGATGAGCCCGAAGGTGATGGAGATGGGGAGGGCGGGCAGGGCCTTCTTGAACACAGCAAGCAGCAGGAGAGTCAGACACAAACCCTGCGGGACATCAAGGTGAGAGAAAGTGGTGAGTCTACCATGGTGGGCGGGGCAATCCCCGAGACTGGCCTGAACTGAGATAGACATGCAACTGTCTTTTCTAGATACTCGGTAGCCCCTCGAGGGACACAGGGCAGGGTCCTCTCTCACACATCCCCCTCAATCAGGACACCTGTGTGTTGGCTAAGGGTGGGCATAGACTTATCCAGGCCACTTGGCATCTCTATCTGGGGACAGCAGTCACACGGATGGTCAGCAGCTCTCTGGGGAACACGCATTTACAAGCAACGCAGATGAACTAAAATGAAATCCTAACCCTACTGAGGTACTCAGCAGCAGACGCCAAGGAAACCAGAGATGCCATGCTATTAACCTTTGGAAGCAAACATGGTGGTGACCCTTTCTATCTCCATCCTTGTTGTTCAGGGTAAGGACAAGGCCCTAAAGTACCTGCCCTGACCATGGGGCAATGAGTCCCAAGTCAAGACAGTAATGTAGGGGAGGAGCCTGGGGTCTGCTATCCTGTGTGGACACAAACAAGCTCTTCCGGGCACTGGACAGAGCATCAGTGTTAACCATGCTCCCTGAGCACTGCACAGAGCACCAGCGTTAACTATGCTCTCCACCCAAGGCATGACAGCCCTCTCAGGGACTCTCCCAACTTCTAAAAGGAAGCATTCTCTAAGATGACATTGTAGCATATGTCCCCCAGCTTAAGTAGCAGCCATCAGAGCTTCTCCAGGTCACACTACTGCTGGAGTTGGATGATCCAGGATTCAGTATTCTATGGGGTCTGGGTAGCACAGGGAACATGTAGCTGTGGAGTGGGCGGGGCAGCCTTTCACACTCCTCCCTGGCTGTACCCATGGGTAAAGGCCTTCAGCTATTCCGACTCCCATAAATCCACAACCCAGGAACTAAGGGACCAGGCCCTGCAGCTTTCATCCAGACCCAAGCAGTGAAGTCCATGTGATCAGTGAGAGCAAAGCCTCTTGTCCCTCCCCGGGTGCTCTCTCTCAGGAGGGAGCATGTCTTGGTGACTACATTCTGGGTTGGGCAGCTCTCCCCTCACTGCCTTTGCCCCTAAGAGGGAAGACTGCAGCTATAAATGCCCTGTGAGGACCCAGAAGATGAGACTCCCCTCCACCATGCACCCCACTCACAATGAGGATGGCGATAAAACAGGCCAGTGTGGTGTTCCAGTCTCCGTTGCCAGTGGCTGCCGCCTTGCCCACCAGGACGCTGTAGAAGATGAAGTCTCCCAGGCCAAGTTTCACACCCCCTATATGGAGAAAAGAAAGTGCCCCCTGTCCAATCCTACTGATGGGAGACCTCAACAGGAAGCAGGCAAAAACAAACAAAAACAACGGAAGTGAAGGGCCAAGCCACTAGCCAAGAGACCCAGCAAAAAGGGGCAAAGGGCAAGATGTCCCTCTGTAGCACTACTGCAGACCAGGTGCAAGATGGACTACCTAGGGAAAGATGGGGGCAGGGCCAAGGGCCCAGTGACTGGCAGCCTAGGCAGGAGCCTGGAATTTAGGACGATCACTTACTCCTGGGGCTGCAGGCTGCTGACTACAGGTAATTTTAAGTAAGTTTAGTGTCATCACCCTCCAGAACAGGGATAATATAGTGACAGCAGACTTGTGGACGCTCCCACCCCACTGCCCCGTGAAGCAGACCATCTGATCTCGGGCACCTTACTTTCCTCCTCTTCTTCCAGCTCTTCTCCTGGGTAGCCAGGAAGGGGGGCTTCAAAGGCTTCGGGGTATGAGGGCTCCCCAAAACTGTCATAGGAGTCTTCTTCTAAACACCAGGAAGAAAGGACCACCGTCATCACACACAGTGGGGGGGGGACAGGGAGAGAGGAAGGCGTGTCAGAAGGTACCAAATTCAAGAAGACTCCCCAGTCCCCTCCTACCTCAAGGCTCCCCACCACTACCACCAAAAACATCCAGCAAAACTGAGGTGAAAACTGGATACAGGATGGACAGTCCAACTGTCACTGGCTCTAAGACGGGTATCAAAGTCTGGCTGCCAGATAATATGACTGCTATTCTGAACTTTATCCCACAGAGGGGCCAGGCCAAGTGGGTGCTGATGAGGATCCCTCCCCCCCCCCCCAGACAAGGCTGTGAGCCCTATACTTACCCATCTCTGGGTCATAGGGGAGCTGCAGTGCTCCTTGAGAAGAGGGATCCAGCTTTGCCATGCCCACTGTCCACACCATGGCAGCTACGGAAAGAGTAAAGGGACACGGCTCAGGGAGCACTCACAGTTGCTGCCCCTGACCTGGAGGAAGTTGAGCCAGTCTGCACAGCCCTGCCGTCCTGCAGGATGTGCTCACGCTTGGCTGACAGAAGCTGCAGGGGCAGGAGTCCAGGGTCACTGGCTCACCGCTGCCTTTTTTCCCTCCTCTCCAATAACAATGGCAATGAATAGCTTGGTGGACTAAGTCTTTTTTTTTTTTTTTTTTAATCGTCTTTTATCATTTTTAGGTTTCAGTTTATCACAAAAAGGAAGGTGTGGAAATTATTTACATGATGAAGTAGATCAGAGCATCGGTGGAATAGACAACTTCTTGTGATGCCATTTCAACAGTGATTTCAGCCCTCATGCTTTCTAAGAATGTCACTATCTCTAAACAAGAAATAACCCTGTGGTCTAGAACTACTTTGGCAACTCCATGTTCTGGGAGATGAACTTGTCTCCAGCTTCCACACTAACTAGCTCAACTTCCCTTTAGAGGCCCATACTACTGGTGCTTGCGAAACTCTTCCTTGAGATTTTTCTGAATGCATAATGCCACCTTTGGTTGCAATTTCTGCTGCCCTCCTTCAACCAACACTCTGTCAAACAGAAGAAACCTTCAAAAAGCCCGTCATGATCCTTGCCACCATAGCTAGAAACTAAATTGTCTTTAAAAAAAAAAAATACAACACAAAAATGCAGAGATGGCTCGGTGGTTAAAAACATGCATTGCTGTTGCAGAGGTTCTGGGTTCATTTCCCAGCACCCACATGGCAGCTCTCAAGTGTCTGTAACTTCGTCCCACGGGATCCAATGCCCTCTTCTGGCCTCCATGGGTCCTGCATGCATGTGATGCACAGATACCCATGCAGGCCAAACAATCATACACATAAAATAAGGACAAAACTTAGACTGAAGAGCTGGTTCGGGGTTAAGAGGACCTGCTGCACAATCGTGGGAAGCAGAGCTCTTACTCCAGCACCTTTAACAAGCTAGTGGTCTTGTAAACGCCTGACTCCAGCTCTCAAGGAGTTGATGTCTCCCTTCTGGCCTCTCTGTCCATGGGGTATATACATGTTCATATGCTCAAACAGACACACATGCACACACAAAATGAACATTTTAAAGTGTAATGTCTGTGGCTCAGTGGCGTTCTGTATTCATATCTGCGAAACTAACCCCAAGCTCTTTCCATCTTACGAGACCGAAACTCTGTCCCCACCAAATGGCTCCCCACTTGCTCCCTAGTTTAGATCCCCATATTCACCACCCACTCAATCTTATGTCTGTAAATCTGCCTGCTCTTGAGACCACGTGTGATCATACAGTGCCTGCCCATTTGTCACTGCTTAACTTCCCTTATCCTAGTGTCCTCAGGGTTCATCCACATGCCACCTCAGTCAGAATCTTCTTGTAGTCCCTTGTATGGGAACACCGTATTTGGCCATCCATTCACTCTGAGATGGACACTTGGATACTTCTAGCTCTGAACTACCATGCTTGACAGATATGGACACAATGTACAAATACTTGTTTTAGTCCCTGCTCTTCATCCTCTTGGGTACATGGGTGCCATGGAAACTGCTGGATCACATGGTACTGTTTAAACTATGACTCCTCTCCCCAAGGAGATTTTCATACTCCATATAGCCCAAATCCCAGGCTTAACAACGCCCCACACCTGTCCCACAGCCTGCCCATCTCTGCAAAAGGCAGAGGGTCTTCCTTGTTGCTTGAACACTAAGCACTACCATTAACCTTGACTCTGTCTTACAACCCTGGCAAGTCCTGTTGCAAAATGCCCCAGAATTCACTTCACCTCACTCAGTCTCTACCGGACCCCTATACAGAGCACGCTTGCCCTTCATGGGTTGTTTCTCTGCCTTCAAACTGGCTCTGGATCACGCTATTGTCCTTGTACACTTTGCTCCCCACTTAGTAGGCAATGTGATCCTGTGAAAGTGTTGGCCCAGATCTTTCAGGGGCTTACCTGTCCTTCGGGGCTGACACTGTCAGGACCTTCCCTCAATACCATCCTCTCTTCCCATCTGCTCTAGCCACATTCGACTCTGGGTGCTCCCTGAGCATACCCAGCCCAGGCCTACCTCAGGTCTTTGTGTCTGCGGCTGTCTCCTTACCCCAAGTGCTGGCCTCCAGATTTCTACCTAGTGCTAACCCCTACCCAAGTGTGACCTATGAATGAGGGCTCCCTGGCCATCTTTTGCAAAAGGGCCTCCCCCGTGGCCCTGAAATCCTTGGCCCCTTGCCCATGCCTACTCTTCAGTGGCATTTGCTATCTCCTGGCTCACATGAATCTGCTTTCTTAGTCCACCTCCACCCAAGACAAGGAGCCTCCTTTGTACTTAAGGGAGTGCCCGGTACTCAAACTGAGTGGGACCATCCATCCCTCATCCTTAGAGCATCCCTGGATGTGCTTTCAAACCAAGGGGCATGCTGATGGCAACTCTCAATTCTAAGCTTGATTCCTCGTGCATTATGATTACCCAGATCTTCAAATGGTTTCCCAGGTACCCGAGGCATCAGAGTCCAGAATCACAGGCTCTATACTAGATAGACCCACTGTTAACAGAGGGTGGCCACTGCCACCACAGGCAGAGAACTCTGTGAGCCCCAGTTCACATAATCTTGCTTCCTGTAAGAAGTCTATGTCCCACATGGGGCCCACCAGTAAGTAGGGACTCAATGTAAAGTGGTGACAGCTGTTAAATTCATATATAAGCCCACATCCCTGTGACATGACCCCAAAACTAGAGACAATCCCTGTGTCATCCCTTCAGAGATGACCAACTTCCACTGGCAAGGCACTATCCATGAACCCCAGGGAGAAACAGGGACCCCTGCCCCCCAAAGCTGCAGGACTGAGTGGAGGTTACATGGCTCTAAAAGCAGCAGGTTCATGGGGATATGGCCCAAACCCAGTGCTGGCTGCCAGATGATGGACAGACTATGGCCATAGGACTGTCTACACATCCCTCTAGTAATCCCCTTCCAACCCTGATTTCCAAACCTTCTTCCTGGGCAAGATCCAGCCCACCAGGGTCTCTAGAAGTAAAACCCTCCTGTAGGTGGTGGCCCTCATAATGCTATCATGACTTGGTCTTCACCTTTGGTTGAGATTGAGTACACAACCTGTCAACTATCAAAATCATGGTCAACTACCATGTCTCACAAAAGGCTGCCTACTGACCTCCACGGTCTAGCAGAGGCATGGGACCACTCACATGAGTATATCAGGGCAGGAAATATGGGCTCATTTCTCTCCTGGGCAGTTTCCACCAGCATCCTTAGTGGTCCCTTGGGGCACAGCACAGCCACAAGATCTGGGAAAACAGAGACGTCCTTGTCATATTAAAGGGGACCTTTATTCCCAAGTAGTGCAAAAAGGAGCCACCTCTCTGTCCCCAGGAACCTAAGTGAGTTCTGGAGCACACCTTGCCACTGAACTAGTGACCTAAGCCCACTAATCTAGAGTTTGCACTGGCTGGAGCCAAAGCAGGTAACCACAAAGTAGGGACAGTCTTGGAAGTGCTAGTCCCCTACACCTCAAGATGCTTATCCTTAAAATGGGAGAGAAGGTCGGTGACAGGCAGCGTGCACAGTACACGGAGACTCACCCTGAGGAACCAACCAGCGGCTCACTCCTACACATCCACGCCCGATGGGCATAGCAGCAGTTGTGGGCAATGAGAGTGGGCACTTCTCAGGACACAGGGTCAAATGTTTTCAGGAGGCTCATGTTTTGGATGCTTCAACTCTAGTTGGTGACACTATTTTAGGAGGCTTTGGACTCTTCGGGAGGTGGCTAGCTAAGGGGTGCAGATCACTAGAGGTGGCTTTTGCAGCCCCTGCTTCCCATAAGCTCCCTGCTTCCTGGACCACTGCAAGGAGCCTCTGTCACTTGCTCCTAGTGAGCCACACCCTCTTGCCTTCCTTCCTTCCACAATGGGATGACACCCTCCGAAACTGTGAGCCAAAATAAGTCTTTCTTCCCTTACATTGCTTCTGTCAATCATTTTGGTCACAGCAATACAAGGGTAACTAAGACACCACTCCAGATTCACCCAGGTTCCCACCAGGCCCAAGCTGCCTACCTACCGTACACAGAGATGGCACCCAAGATGACCCAGGCAGACCACTCTGGCAGGTACTTGATGAACACCAGGGCCATGAGTGCGCTGATCATAATGAGATAACCCTGCTGCAGCACCAGCGGCCCCTTCCAGTGGATGCACACCATGCCCACTGCTCCGAAGTTCCAGACGGCCAGGAAGAGTGTGGGGTAGTCCATGGCCACGTTGTAGGTCTTGAGTACTTCCCTGCAAGCCCAAGGTGGAGCAGGGCATGCGGCACTCGGGGTGGGAAGGTTGCCACACCCTAAGTTGTTTGATGCCCTCTGCTCCTCAGCCATTATGCCCCAATCTGGATTTTATATTCAACATCCCCACCCTCCACTTCCAAGACCCCACACCTAACCACTCAGTATTTTCCGGAATGTGGTGGGGAGTGAATCAAAAGCTAGTGTGTGGCTCACATGGTCATGCGAGGAGCCCGCCTTCCCGGAAAGCCCTGTGCAAAGATGGGGTCCTTGAAATCTGTTTCTCTTTGAGTCTCTGGGTTAGGCTGATATTCGCTAGGAAATGCCCAGGTTTAGCCACACCCCTCCCTGAAGTAGAATGCATCTTTGAGAGGCGTCCACTGGCTAAGAGTTCTGAGAAGGCTTTCCCATGCTTCCTTTAGGGACATTTCAATCAAAAGCCAGAAAGAAACATGTGTTAAAGCCTGGAGGCCTGGGCTCCTGGAGCAGCTGACACTGAGGATGACACCTCTCCCGGCCAAGCTCCCTCTTACCCAACGGTGGCACTGGGAGCGGCTGTTCACAACCAGCACTCACCCAAGGTAGATGTAGGTGAACAAGAACAGTAACATCAGCGAGGACATAATCAGCCAGCCGTGGATGAACTGGACAACAGAAACAAGAGGGCCGTTAGCAGGATAGAGATACTCTAGAGAGCTGGATACTTCCATCTGCCCTTCCCTTCAGCCACCAGAGGTGGCACTGGGTGGTGGTGGCAACTGGATCTCCAAGTTAGAGGCCAGCCTAGTCTACATAGTGAGTTCCAGGATGGCCAGGGCTACACAGAGAAACCCTGTTTCAAGGAAACCCCAATGAATTAAAATTTCCTGAGGAATTTCATGCTTTCAAAAGGAAAACAACAAAGCTTGGTACTAGCCAGAGGAACTGGTCCCCAGGAGAGACTTCATATACTTCCAACAGTGCATTGGGATGAAAGGGAGGCCCAGACAATGATGGGCAGGGCCAGGCCTTGACTGAGACTGTTCAGCTTTGCAGATCTCTGACCTTCTATTTCAACCCTATCCTTATGTTAGGACTGGGAGATGGGCATGATGGAGGGGTCAAGAACAAGACTCAGCCATCAAGGGTAAGATGGTGTCACTTCCTCCCAGCCTCTCTTCACTTCTAAGGACTAACCTTGGTCAGCAGCTCAGCCCACCTGGAGGAAGGCTGCACACCACACCCAGCCTTACAGGAAGGGAAGGCATCGCCTCAGGGACCTACTCAGCCTTTGCCCCAACTATGGCTTGTCTGGGCTATGTCATCTCAACTTCCCAATGACTAAATGGATGGCCAAGCCACTTCTCTGTGACTGGCCATATGACACACACCGACCACAGCAGGATCACTCCCCTGTGCTGTTTCTAGCTCAATGTCCTGTTTTCTATGTCTAAACCGCCCTCCCCCACATCCCTACCCCCTTTGTCCCTCCTTCCCCTTTAGTATATATGGAAGCCCTGCCTCATTTGCATGGGCAGTTGTTACTGATGAGCTAAGTTACGCTTCTGTCCATGTATCATTTCCTGATAGTCCCTCCCATGGTTCAACCCCTTAAAACCCAGCTGGGTAGGTGGCTGGCCTCCTCCCTACACCATGGCCTTTCTCTTCCTGCTCCATACACACAGCTGCCAGAATACAAAGGACCATGCTATGTGTTGGCAACTGTTTTGAATGGGTAATGCCTAGCTCAATTTCCTGTTAATCTTTATGGTTTCAAAGCCTGCAGCCTAAATCCAGTACCTAAAAGTTGATGGTACAGTAAGGCCTAGTAACACAGGAGTGTAACACCAGTTTAACTGGTGAAGCTGAGGCAGGAGGATTGTCTGGTCAACTTAGTGAGACCTCCTCTACAAAATTAAAGAGGCAGGAGAGATGGGTCAGAGGGTAGGTAAAGGTGCTTGCTGCCAAGCTTGAGGACCTGAGTTTAATCCCTGGAACCCACATGGTAAAAGGAGAGAAGTGACTCCTGACCATGGCAGGCTCAGCGGTATACCTTTTGGCTAGTGTATGCAAGGTCCAACATTTAATCCCCATTTGGTGGATCTTGGGGCAGGGAGTATGACATCATCGGGGATAATGTTGTTTATAACTGGGGTCACATGGGATGTGACTCTCCCAGTACTCCATGGGGAGACTTGAGGTCTACAGGAGAATCCAGCCCAAAGGCTTCCAGGGCCAAGAGACCTTCACTGAGCACATGAGCAACCCTATCTAAAGGGAGATGGAAAGATAAAAATAAGCCTGGGGTGAAGGAACTAAATCAGAACTTCAGAGAAATAAAATTAACTTCGGAGCAGGAGAGTGTGTCACACACATCGGTGAAGAGCTCAGAAGACAGTGGGTGGGGTGGAGGCCATGCAGTTTAAAAGCCAGCATTAGGTCATCTTCCCACAGTGTCAGAGAGCATGAAAAGGCAACCTCCTCTGCAGAGAGAAGGAACCTGCTCCATCCACATCACGGCAGGGCAGAGGGGAGGGGTAGAGGGCCACAGGCCTCACCTTGTAGCATCGATACTTGTAGAGTACCACCAGGAAGATGGTCATGACCACAATGACGCTGATCATGATGAGGGTGTTCAGCACAGAGTTGAGGAGCCGCTGGCCCACTGAGGGCGTGTCCTCAGTGAAGGGTGTGTAGATGCTGAAGAGGTCACCAGAAGAGACTCAGTTAGAACCCTGGCATTGGCTGAGCCGTCACTATCTGTGTGAACTGGAACATCATGACAGAAAGGACACTGTATCCCTCCTCTACTCACTTAACCCTCCCACTTCCGGGTCCTTAGCTCTCGTCACTACCCACAAGATTGGCTGCCTGCTTTTCCATGTGAATAATTTTGATTTTCACTGTGAGTGATATGGAGTCAGCTAAGTAGCCTGCCTCTAGGTGGGTCTGTGAGGGAGGTTCTGGGCAACATTAACCCTGCCCGGGGTGGGCGGCTCCTTCGTTGGCAGCCCAAGTGGAAAGGGGTTACAGAGAAGCAGTGCTGCTTTGCCTGCCTACCTCTGTTGCTCCTTGCTAGCGCATGCATCCACCCTACTGGTGCTGCTGTTGCTACCCTTCATTGACACTAGAACCTCAGCCTTCCAATGTGGACAAACACCAGTGGCTCTCTGGGAACCTTCCAGGCATTCAACAACAATTGGAACTGCTGAGGTCTAAGCAGCTATGGGGTTCTCAGCCTCTTTAATGTGCAGACAGCCACTGTTGGACTACCTACTATTGGATACAACAATCTAAGGCATCCCTTTACACTACTTTATTGTGTAAGCCAATCTAATGCATCCTCTTTCATAATAAATACACTTTCATTGGTTCTGTTCCCCTGGAGAACTCTGACAGCACATTCTACCACCATTCTGCAGCCCCCAACTGCAGCCACAGGTACTGCCCCAGCTCTAGAATTAATTCATAGGTACCTTGCTTTTCCCAGCTCAGCCTGCCAGAGCTATGCTGGCCCTGTTCTCTCAAAGCCTTCTATCTATGCTACTATGAACCCCATACAGGATACAAGCTTCTTAGGGGTGGGAACCTTCCCACCTCCTCTTTCCTAAAGAATAAAAATGACTAAAATCCAAACTGAAGAGCAAGTCTCTAAAGGCAAAGATGCTGAGGATGTTCATCAGTGAGGAGCCAGGGAGGGGAGAGGAAAGGACTAAGTTAGGGAGCTCTCCATTCTCTATTTATTAAAGTGATAAAAGGGCCCTGATAAGTCTTCCTTGACTGCTGGAAGTACGCTAAGAAATCATCTGCTCCAACCCTGTCATCTCACATCTAAGGGAACAGAGACCCAGATAGGATGTGACTCAACTGGGGTCACATGGTGTTTGAGACACCGTGGGGCCAGGACCAGGCACTTGGTACATGGAGCTCAGTGCTATGGTACCAGAGCCTCCTGTATTCAGATTCAGCTTAGCCTTTGGTGAACACTGTGACATGGCACCTTTCATGTGGATTGCCCACCTAGTTCTCCAGGTAGCCCCATAATTAAACTCATGACAAACAAGGAAATGGAGGCCCACAGGTCAGATATGCTGCCAGACAAGTCACATGAGCCCAGAGTCTTTGTCAGTGCCTTCCAAGGCCACCAGCACAGAGCAACAGGCACAGTAGCCGAGAACCTATGACCCCCTCCCTAAATCAATCACCACCCCAACCTCCCAATGCCAACCCGGTCCCCAACTCACAGCTGCCCATTCTTCTCTGTGTAGAAGCGCACGGACTTGATGGTGGCTACCACCACAATCATACACAGTGTGACAGGCACAAACAGCATGATGACATGCTTCGCCCCATACTTGAGGGTTAGCTCTTCTTCCAGACCCGGCGGCCGCCCAGGAACCCCACTGCAGGCATACGGGTCTGGGTCCTCCTCACAGTCTTCCTCGCTGTCCTGGCTCCTCTGTGGGAAACCACATAGTGAGGGCCACAGAAGGCCCCAGGGTGAGCTGCTCCTACACGGGAAATAGAACTGAGAAGGCTAAATGCTGCTTTTTAGACATGACAAGTGTGAGCTCCAATTTGGGTTCAGGATAAAAAGTCTAGGACAGTGGTAGAGAAGGTTTAGAGCTAGCCTGAATAGCCACACAGGGTACATCAAAGACCCTTGCTCTTCCCAAGATCAGGAGCTAAGGCCGCTAACCAGCATGGCCACACTGAGCAGGCTGGGCAGGAGAAAGGAAAGGGAGACCAAAACTTTTCACACAGCAGGGGGCTGGAGACAGCTCAGCAGTTAAGAGCACCTACTAGCCTGAGTTCAGTTGCCAGCCTCCATGTCAGGAGACCCACAACTACTTCTCCAGCTCCTTCTGGCCTCCCTGGACACCTGAGCTCATGTGCATGTACCTCCACACAGACAGACATTAATACACATAACTAAAAATAAAAATAAATCTTAAGAAAAAAAGACATAGGAACCTCATGGTCCTGTTTTCTTTTTCTTTTCCCACAATGGCTCTGCTTCAAGGGCAATGATTGCTGGTAGGACCTACCCACTGGGCAGTGTTCTCTCCATCCTCCGGGCCTGGCCTGCCCTCTTGGCAGGGGTGTGATGTGGGGCTCTCGGCTGACATCAAGGATGTCCGTTCATCGAACACCTCTTCCTCACTGTCAGAGGCCATGAATGTGAGCATGCTCCCTCCTCAGAAGCACCTGGAAAATAAGCACAGGGACCTTGTTCCTCTTTCCGGACAGGAAAGGTAGTGACGGGGACTGAGAGATTGGGGGGGGGGGGGGAGGCGCTTGAATACCAGGCACGGGTCTTGTCTCTTACAAGCATTCTAGATATACATGTCAAACAATTTCAAAAACAGGAGTTCCAAAAGCCAGCAAGAGGCCACAGCAGTCTTGTTTGAGACTGGCATGAGTAGACTCCTATCACATGGAGCAAAATGTCCAATCACAAAAGTCCTGGTCACTCTGAACTGTCAACATGTTTGTTCAATCAATAAACATCTGTGGGAAATCTACTGTGTGTGGCTCTGGGGCTTTAATCTTGAATAAGAAATGATCATGCCTCGGAAAAAAATCACCCTATATGACAAATGACATACCATCAAGATGAAAAGAAGCAGAGATTTCACATTTCTTGGAGAAGTGTTGGGGTAAGTTCCGGCCTGGAGGACAGTGGACAGGTCAGACTATGGCCACACCAAAGAGGCCCGTGTCATCTCAAGGAAAGTGGGGCATTGACAAGTTACCCATCTAGCTGGTGACTATGAGGGATAAGACAGAGGCCAGGAGGAAGTATCCTGATCATGGGGTAGGGAGGGGCTTGTATGGGGGACAGCATAGAGGATAGAACCTAAGACACTGGCCAGGATCGACTAAGATGAGGGAAGAGATGTTTCCAAGGAAGACTGAATGTGATCCAAAAACCCATAGTGTCTGGAGGTTGAAAATGAGACACCATCTAAGGGTTCCTGAGTGTAGGGTACATGTAGAATAGAGTCTTAAGTTTAAAAATGGCAACAAAGTCTTAGGAGCCACCAGCAGTAGGGGATAGGGACCCCTGGAGCCTCCACCTCGGCCCCACCTCTCTCTCCCCAGACCCTGACTTCAGAAAGCCCACCAAATGGTGGCACCTTCCCCCGAGATGCTTGTGACCATGCCTACAGGGTATTTAAAGCCCCGCCCCAGACCTGCCATGTGATTTCTCTCCTGCCTTTCCAAGAGTCACCTGGGAGTTGCCTTCTGTTTATTAAAACCTGGTCTTATTAATTTGGCTGGATTTGGCTTATTGCATCAGGGGAGGGACTCACAACCAGGGACTTTTAAAAAATACTTATCAATACCCCCAATAAGGGATGGGGGAAGGGAGACTTCTCCACCCCACCCCCATCCCAGAACTTCTGCACGGTTCTCAATGTACTCTGACACAGCAGCACTCTATGGGACCCACTATAACTCCAGGTCCCCACATTTTGGGTTCAGGCACAATCTCTGGGAGGATACTGCCACTACCAGCAACATCTCCTCAGAGTTGAGCTTTGTGCTATTGAGGTAGAAGCAGGTCTGCTTTTGGCTAAAAGCTTGTCTCCAGACAAGTCACTCTTGGAATTCATGTGATCTTCAAGTGAGAAGACAGCCATCCTGGCTGTGGCCTATCTAATTCCCACAAGGACTTCCCCTCAGCCTGCTATTACAAAGATAATACAGGGCCTGCAGTTTTTAACCTCTCTTATTGGGCCTACCAGAAGGTACCTTCTGTCTTCACAGGATTTGCAAAGTGGAAAAGCCCAGAGCCCCCAGAAGCTGCCATTCTGGTTCTGCCAGACACTGGGAATGGGAATATAGCTGCAGAATCCCACGGGTTCAAGGAGGAGGTGCTGTGGACCCCGTACTATCCATGTTCAGAGGAAAGAGTGTCGTTTGTAGAGCTGGCTGATCTTGTTTGGTTCTTGAGGACTGAGAGGGACAGGGAGTAGGCCAGAAAGCTGAGACCAAAGGAGGCAGAATTTTCTGGAAAGAGGGAACCATTCAAGTACATGAACAAGACAGAAACATAACATGATCTTGCCTCAATACCCAAGGGACTGGAGGTGGAATCAGGTAGGGTAGACCATCCCAGAGAAGGGTCTGGATATCTGACCAAGGGAAAAGGAGCTTAATTCAGCCCGGGTGTTAGTATTCAGTCATCTGTACTGGGGTCCTGACAGGATACGCCCTCAGCTGCAGCCACTAAGAGCACCGCCTGTGCACACTCACTATGTTCCCTTTTAAAAGGGCCCTGCCCACCTCCCATCTCTCTCTCTTTCTCTCCCTCCTTCCCTCTTCTCTCCTCTCTCCTGCTCCTCCTGTCTCTGGAGGCTGGTCTCTCCCTTTCCCTAATTAAAAAAAAAAAAACCGTCTGCATGAACCCTTGCCACATAGTGTCTTTCTCTCATGTGCCACTTAAATTACAACACCAGATATGTCCTGGGGGATAGAAGTGTCCTTCACTTCTAGGCTCACACAACAGAGCATGTCCTACGTGGGTATGGTCTATTGCCCTGGTACTTGGAGTTCTGGAAGCTCAAGTGAGCCCAGAGCTTCAGGGGAGTGGTTCTGCTTCCTAGAGGCCTTGGGACCAACACAACAGAACTCTGTTTAAGGGGCACAGCTTCACAGGCCAACTTGCCGTGGGCAGTATGTTTTGAGATGGCAACTCTGCACACTCATGGGCTGCCTGAGGTGGGCCTGGCTCAGGAAGGAAAGGGAGCCTTTTCACCCAGTACCTTCCCACTCCCATGTCCAGCTCTATTTGACTTGGGGAATGAGGATTAAAACTGCACAGCTCTTTGTCCTGAACAAAGGACCTGGTCAGACAGAATTAAGAAAGGAGTAAACACTTCTCAGACTAGCAAAGTGTTCAAACAACGTAGAAGGAGGGCTGGAAGATCTGGGTGTCAGAGGCTGGCGTGTGTGTGTGTGTGTGTGTGTGTGTGTGTGTGTGTGTGTGTATGTGTGTGTATGTGTGTGTGTAAACTACACGTATCAAAAACAGGAAAACCTCAAAGCTCCACAGACTCAGACCTTTTGATCCAGGAAATGCTACTTCTTGGTATTTTATCTAAGAAAAATAAATTCATACAAAAATATGCACTGTAGTTATTTGCTATGATAAAAGTAAAAATGAATGAAATTTCTGACTCCTTTCTCTAGCACAGGAACACCCCTCCACCCCTACCCCCTTATCTACATTTCTATTTCCTGTGGTTACAGTTATCACTGGTCAGCTGAGGTCCAAAAACATGTGATGGAAAATTCCAGAGTAATCAATTCATACATTCTAAGTAACTTTCACTACAGTATATCGGTCTAATTGTGAGTGCTCTCTTATTAATCTTCTGCTGTGCCTGATTTATAAGTTCAACTATCATGAGTGTGTATGTTCAGAAAACAAAACATGGTTTCCACAGGACTTGGTATTCACCCTGCACCTAAGAACACATCTTTCTTGGCTTATAAGAGGGCCCACTGCAAGTTCATCTGATGGGGACTATTACAGGACCATGTAATACTTAGTAACAATTAAATACTTGGTAACAATTAAAGTGAAGTTAAATTTAACAAGATGTAAAGGTTCTCATAACCATCTAAATTTACACACACACAGACAAGACTGGCGGTAACTATTACAAAACATTAAATGTCATTATCTTTAGACTGGTGTGATTTTTTTTCTTTGTATTTTTCTGCATTTCTCCATTAAAATTTTTCAGACAGGGTCTCTCTCATGTATCCCTGGTTGGCTTCTATCTTAACTATGTAGCTAAGGATGTCCTCCTATGAATCTCAAATAATAAAGACCCAGAGACAGATATTGGGGTTCAACCTTCAAGCTGAAGATCAGAGAAGCAAAGCAGCCAGCCACTAGCTCTTACCTCCACCTCAGACCAAAATGTGTGATCCTGTCTCCATGAATCCTCAGAGTGCAACCCAGACCACACTGCTCGCCACCAGGCCTCAGACTGCAAACCTCCAAGTTCTGTCTTCTCCCACCTTATATTCTTCTCTCTGCCCAGCCATATCATACCTATCTCCACCTCCCTAGTGCTGGGACTTAAGGGATATGATCCCACGTGCTGAGATCACCTTTGTGTGAGCTCTGTTTCTCTTTTAGATGGGATCAATTTTGTGCAGCTCAGTGAGGCCCTGAACTAACATATCTCTGTCTCCCAAGTCTTGGGATTAAAGGTGTGCATCATCACTGCCTGACTCTATGGCTGTGGCTAGCTTTGCATTTTGATCTCTAGTGGCTTTATTAAATCATAAATAAAACATCACTACCCTCCTGCCTCCACCTCCGGAAGGCTTAGATCACAGGTGTGTACCACTATACCCAGTTTACACTGTGCTGGGGATAGAGTCCAGGGCTTGCACAGTAGGCAAGCCCTTTATTGAATTACATCTCCAGCTGCTCTTCTTTGTATTTATTTTTTTTTTTTTAATAATCAAGATGGCTTGCATCTTTAACCTATTGCTTTTTTTTTCTTTTTTTCTTCTGAGATAAGGTCACACTGTGTATGTAGCCCTGGTTGGCCTGGAACTAGAAGTGTAAACCAAGCCAGCCTGGATCTCAGTTCTTCTTCAGCTTCAAGAGTGCTGGGATTAAAGGCCTACGCTATTTTACCTGACAAGCTGCTGATTTGTAGAAGGGAACAGTAAGTAGCAACACATAGGGTTCCCTCTCCTGAATCACCAGCTTGGCCTGGGGAAACAGGTGACAACAGGAAGCCACTGACATTTTCTCTAAAGCCCTGAATGACAACAGATGCTTCTCTGACTGGTTCCCCTTTAGGATCCCTAAGGGCCATGAGCAAGGCCTCTCTGTTCTGAAGCCTAATGGCACTGAAATTCTCGGGGGGGGGGGGGGAAATCACCAATCAAATGCACAGATAAACAACCCCCGCTGGATCAGCAACCACATCAGAGTTCTGCAAGAGCTCCTGGGGGAGTCTGACTCAGCACACACACACACATACACACACACACACACACACACACAGAGAGAGAGAGAGAGAGAGAGAGAGAGAGAGAGAGAGAGAGAGAACCAGCTCACATCCCTGGGGCATCTGCAGGAAACCAGGGGTGCGTGCAGGGGGCAGAATGTTCTGGAAGCCCTGCCTGTCCCGTGGCCGAGGCATTAAGAACCCTCTGCCAACTTTTAC